AAACTTCTCCTTCCTTGTGCTGTTTCCAAAAGTTTCGATGTACTTTCGAAGATCTTCTTGCAAAGTTGTTCTACAACTAGTATTGGCTACCAGCCGCATCCAGCCCCAGTGCTCTCATCTATAGCAGATCCTTGATGCCTTTCAAAATTCGTTCAAAGTTCTTTGTGCGAGACTGAGGCACTTTCACCAAAGACTCTCAGTCTTCTAATAAGCAGATCGTAGTCATTCATTCGGTCCTCCTCGATGGACCAATCACAAGTGGTCAGGAGCTCCTGCAATCTTACGCCGTCATATACGACTTCTCTCCTTCCTCTGATACGATGGCAGATATTCTTTTCCAGCTTTCGGTTGAGTCTAACTTTTGCTCGAAGAAGGCGGTGGTCTGAACCACAGATGGTACGAGACGTCCAGTAAGCAAATCCTTTGGATGGTGAGAATGTGGTCGATCTCCGCATGAGTCGTACCGTTGGGTGACTCCCATGCTCACCGCGTGTTCTTTCTTCATGAAGATAGAGTTGCCATGAAAAAGTCGTGCGGCGGAAGAGTACAACAAGACGGTTACCATTCTCATTCCGGAATCCTGATCCAAATCTCTCGATCCTGTGTTCCCCTTCTTCTGGCATCCCGTTTTTCGCGATGAAGTCACTCACGACTTGTAGAAACCAAATCCTCATTAAAAGCATCAAGTTCCGAATCATCCGCTTTGATGTTGGAGAATAACAAGTTGATGTTTTTGTGACGCAGAGGCCATATTCGAAGGTCAGCCAGGCGAAGTGATAGGAGCTCATGCGAATCGACAAGATGGGCAACACATGGGTGTATTACATATCCAACGCTTCCGCTCCGTGATGGAACTTTTCACCACGAATAATGCGTGCGCCATCTCTCAGCTGCCTTACGTCGTCTTCCTGGACGTTGTCCTGCAAGGCGATTACATAGTGCTTAATGCGCCCTGTAGCTTCGAGAAGGGCGTGAAGATTGGCGTTGGTGGAGACTGTCCTGGCTTTGCAGGTGCAGAGCATGAGATAATCTCCATGGCGAGCCGTTGACGAGTCTTTCTATCCGAAATTCATGGCTTCCTGCGCAGCCTGACACTGTCCTGATGAGATCCGACGCCATAGATGTGATCCAGTGTGCAGGGCTTCTTTTACTCTTACATGCTGTACGGGCAATAAAGAACATTTCCTAAACATTAGCAGAGCCTTGTCAGGGCCTGCCATGCTTTCACCACAGGCAATCGCTGACCTTATATGGATCAGGGAACCCATATCTGAATCAGCCACACGGTGTCCAGATAAGATATCATGGCCTATTCTTAGCTGGGCATTCGGGGAACCAGAAACGTCAAACCCTTCCCAGCTTGGGAGACCCTGCTGGAGGATAAACCTCCGCTGTACTTCGCAGTTCAATATCCAGACCCCTACGGCGAGGCGGTAGGACCATCACGGGGGCTAACAATGTCGTCGTTTTTATCTCAACAAGAACAGGAATATTCTAGCGATACTGTTCATGAACTTATGGGACACATGGCACTGTTTGCGGATCCGGATTTTGCGCAGTTCTCTCAGGAGATTGGACTAGCATCACTTGGAGCCAGTGACGAAGATTTAAAAAAACTTGCCACGGTGAGCTTCTGGAATTTCTAACAAATATTTGGTAGAAGGATCAAGAAGAAAGGCGGTCGAACTGTAGTTGGGTCTTTGTCAAATCTTTGTCATTTGTATAGAACATGCATATTTCCATCTTGACGTTTGAAATAGAAATAAATCTTGCCTTTCAATTGATCCGATAGGCTTTGTTTATGAATTTTTGTCATAAAAAACTATGTATTTGACGAAATGAGTCTATTTTAAATCATTACAGCTGTACTTTTTCTCCATTGAATTTGGACTTTCGTACGTGGGAGGCGATGAGGGATGTGACAAGGGGAACAGCACTTCTTCTTTCAAGTACAAAATTTACGGAGCTGGCCTTTTGAGCAGCGCTGGCGAACTACAGGTAGGAGTCTGCTGTTTCGATTCATGGGCGATCTCAAACACAAAATACGAGTGATTTGAGTGAATACCTTTATACATGATTGAGCATTACATCCGACGAATTTCACTGATCAAAATTTAAGCGTTTAGGAAGGAGGCAGAAGCGCGACTGAAGCTTGCGAATATTAGGCACTAGCTTGCATACCCGGCTTCTCGGCCGTTTCAGAGTAGTCAATAGTACTTTGTTCTGAAATTTTTTTTTCTGCAAGGAGTACAGTTTAGTTTCCAAAATTTCCAGCATAAAAGTTCTCTCTTAGCAATCCTAGGCTGAAAAAAATAACACTGTTCAGCATGTAGCAC